ACTGAATGTTGCACTTTATTATTGTAAGTGGCATCTGCTGGAATTCTGATACAGTGATAATAGTGATACATCTAGTTAATAGTTATTAACAGGGTTYGGGACTTATAGCACTTGAAATCATTGAAATAAGCGCTTAAAAAAGCTCTCAAAAACATCATTATAAGCACTCAAATAAGCATTTAAAAACTTAAATTTTTGCAAAAAAATTTATCAAAAAACAAAACACTAAAAAATTAATTTTAACTAAAAAATCAAACAAAATAAAAATAAATATTTATCTTTATATTATAAAATAAATTTAACTTCACTTTCGATATTTTATGGATTTTCCAAGGGATTTTCTGAAAAATGATATGTAAACGATATTATTTTTTTTAATAGTTGAAAACATTATAAAACATAGAAATACTGGTCAAATAAGCTAAAATAATCAGAAAAACTGGAAATAAGCATTTTTTTTTGAAAAATCGCCGAAACAAGCGAAAAAAGCACTTTCAAACTTCATAATTATACGTAATACGTATTATAACATGACATACACTTCCATAGCACTATGCTAAATTTTAAGTCAATCATAAAAATAAGCAAATACTTTAAGTCTCAAGCCCTGGTTATTAATATATATTGATATAATACGTAKTCACGTATAGGAAGTCGGCTAACATGATTCAAACATCTGTCAAATAAGTTCGCATGATCTGATCTATTAATCTTTCATTTAGGTATTATTGCTGCATTGGTATCATTGGTGACTAGACTACYTACTCTCTAACGATTTTCAAAACCACGACCTCGAAGCGCTGCTTCGAACATCTGGAGTCAATTTAACTAAAACAGATTCTCATTTTTGTATATATTATTATTTTAACATATATAATTACGTAATTTAATCGATACTCTCTTAAATTTGCTTCATTACAATAATTATTTTATATTTTTACCTACAAATTGTTTCGAAAATCAATCTTTTGAAAATYATACTAATAATATATACAATATTTAATAAGTTATGTTGTATAAATAATAATTTTTATTTTATCTATAGCTTCGTAGTTACGTTTCCATCTACACTTATCAAATCGATCGAGACAAATTACATTTGTTCTTAGTTGATCTATGCAGAGGTAGGTATAAGTGTAAACGAGGTACTGATGGTATTAGAAATATACAAGAGTGAGTAAGAAATGTCTCAGTTTACCCAGAAGTGTATTCAGAATATTATGTTATTATTTACAATTACCTACTTATTAATTATTAGTTAACCTTGCTGCATATCTAGCTGTAAATTTTCGGCTGTTATAGTTGACGGTTGTATACTAATATTTGTTATAATAATATGATAGTTTATCAATAATATAATGCAGTGATATTTTCGATAACTTTTTTTTATAACCATCTACCTACAACGTGATTATTAATTTCGTCATCTTGAATTTAAACAATACTGCAGTTTTTAGTAATGCAATTATCTTAATATTYATCATGGAATAAATTAATTTTATACACGTATCTATATGACTTTTACAAGTGTAATGYCATTTTTTGACATTCCAATAATTTGAACTATAAGTAATAAACAGTCGACGATAAAAGTATAAAACTATAACGACCGTTACTACAAATAAAAAAAAATAATAACACAAACAAACATAAAGCAATATTTGTTTAAAGAAAATTTAAATAGCTTAAATAGATAATAATTTGTTTGTTGGTACCTATACTATACATATAATATAATTTCTTTACATTTTAATTTATATTATTTACAATGTAATGTTATAGGTATTTATTATTTATTAAAAAGATTATATGATTTTTAAAGTCCCCAAAATTCTGGGTACTTTTTTGTTTTTGTTTGTAGGTATCCAGATCTTCAGAAGCAAAAATATATAAATTATTGTGAAGTAGCATTTTTAATAGTAGTGCTAAAAATGAAAAAATGTAATTTTTTTGTTTTTGATACATTTACATATACAATTTTTATAATATGACTAGGTATAGTATGTAGTATTTGGGAATTATTGTTATATGAATTAGTATTTTGTGATTGAGCTACTGCTTTCAGACCATTGAATCCGAACACCCTTATACACATACAAGCATACAACATACTCATTGCTTCCTTTAAAACGACGATACAATTTGTATTGAGAGACAATTTGTCATATTTTTATATTGTCTAGCTACAAGACACCAGCTTATTTTCACGTTACGTGGAACAGCTTGCGCCCTAATTTTAACCACAACGCATCTTATTGTACAGAGTAGTTATATTCTGTACTATAGTATACTATATAATATATAGTATATATATACTATATAGTATATAGTTTTAATATCTTTGTACTTTAATATAGTTATTTTTTAGAATATTTTATTTTTGTTAAAACATATATTATATACAAAACAAAACATTCAATGCTAAACATTTTAAAACAAAAAAAAATGCGGTTCATTTTAATAATAAGAATGTCATTGATTACAAAGCAATACTTTTTGGTTTTATAATTTAATTTCCTTATTTTTAAAGACCATATATTTTTATTTTAAGTAAAAGAGCTATTAAAATAATTAAAAATGAATAATTAGTTAAAATAAAATAGTTTTAACTTAATTATAATTTATAAGATTTTCTTAGTCTTAAAAACGTTAGGTCTTTATTACAA